CTCAGTGGTCCAAAGTCATCTTTTCTGATGAGAGCAACTTTTGCCAAAAGCACTAAAAACTGCTTCAATGACCATGGGATTACTGTGCTTGATTGGCCTCTCCATTCTTCCTCCATACTCTGGGTCCTTGGTTTCCAAATGAAATGCAAATGTTCTCTATGTTGAGAAGAAATATTGTTGCAATATGTATGTGTGTGTGTGCGTTTGTGTGTATGTATATATGTATATACATATTTTAATATTACTAGATATATCGCTTATTTACTATCCTATTACTATCACTAAGTTATGTATCTTATGATTTAAGATGAATATATTTTTATGATGGCTATGATCATGATTTATCATGTATGTATGTATGTATGTATGTATGTATGTATGTATGTATGTATGTATGTATGTATACTGAGAGCTTATGCACCAGAGACAAATTCCTTGTGTGTCCAATCAACCTTGGTCAATAAAGAATTCTAGTCTATACTAAGCTGATGCTGGCAGAAATAGTTGCAAAAATGTGGATTTTTAGGCTAGCTGTAAAGGGTGAGATAAAGTACTTGAGTGCTGAATCAAAGTATGAGGATAAAACAGATGGTTGAAAAGGGAAAAGGAAGAAAGGTGGGTTCTGTCAGTAGAAGCAGAGAAAAGGGAAGATAATTTATAATAGGGATTCTATCTGACTAAGAAAGGCTTTTTGCCAATTTCTAGTAACTTTTCATGGGCTCAGAAGCTTACCAGGATGCAATAGGTTAACCTATTCTACAAAGCACCTGAAAGCAGAACAAGAAGCAGTGGATGGAAACTAACGAAGGAGAGAAGCAATCTTGAAATAAGGAGAAATTTCCTGACAGAGAAATTGTGAAATTGCTTGCCTTCAGAAGTTGTGGGTGCTCCATCATTAGAGGATTTTAAGAAGAGAATGGACAGCTATTTGTCTAAATGGTCTAAGGCAGGAGTGTCCAAACTTGGGAACTTTAAGATTTGTGGATTTCAACTCCCAGAATTCCCCAGCCAGCCATGGGGCGAGGGAATTCTGGGAGTTGAAGTCTACAAGTCTTAAAGTTTCCAAGTTTGGACACCCCTGGTCTAAGGTCTCCTACTTGAGCAGGGGATTGGACTAGAAGACCTCCAAGGTTCCTTCCAAATCTGTTATTCTGTTAACTTGAATAGTTCTGTCGTCATACTGCGAGCCATAACACATATTTTATGCTACAAATAATTGCTACCACCACCATTAAGAGAAGCCAAACATGCAGGCCGGGCATCAAACTTGAGTGATAGAAAACAAAAGTGGATGATGACAAGGTGGTGAGACTGACCTGGTTTCACCTTTTCAAGCATTGGTCATATTGCATAAATGGGGAACAGCATAAATGGTAAATACAGGAAAACCTCTCAGATGCTAATGACTGCATTTGCCCAAGAGCTATCTCATTACCCTTGCAAAAGTTTCTCATAAATTGGGTTTGTCAGTCACAGCATGGTGCCTGTCATTCTGACACAAGCAGAAAATATAAAAGTGTCCTTAACTGCCCTCTGGCTTAACACACACACCCCTGTAACTTGAATTTGTTGTGGGGTCCATTTTATGTATACAAAATGAGGCTATACAAAGCTGCTTAGAAAAATCATATTCTCTGATTGTAAACATCTGCATTAGTCTGTTTTAATAACTGAATAGTTGTGTCTATAAAATAACCATCAATCCTTCAACCCTCTTGGTGCAGATTCTCATGATCTTTTCGAAGCTATGTTATTCTGCATTCTGCATATATTTATGCCTTCATAAGTTAATTCCTTTTGTGGTAGTTCTAGATTGAATTCCTGAAGTATAGCTGGAAAAAGTAATCACTTTCAATGTTTTATTTTGAAATGCAAAGGTAAGAGTCTCAAAACAGTTTCAGCCAGTAAAAAAATCATTTTTTTAATCAATGAATTTAGAATCTGGTGGGAAAAGGAGGCTTAGGTGTAATTGGAAACTGTTTGGTTCTCAGACTTTGGCCAGAAAGAGTTTGCTATTAGGGTCATTGCTGATATTGAAAAGATTATCAGTGAGATGAGTGATGCTAGTGATAGGATTTTGGTATTGAAACAAAGATTATTCCCAACTGAGATTTGTGGATATAGTCTGTGGATCCCAAATGTATGGGACATTTATTCTGCTAATCCATCTGAATTTGGCCTTGTAGCAACTTTCCTTATTTTGGTGCTTCCAAAACAGAACAGAATAACAGAGTTGGAAGGTATTCTATTCTTGGAGGTCTTCTACTCCAACCCCTTGTTCAGGGAGAAAGCCCTATACTATACTATTAAAAAC